ACATTTCAAAACATGGCGTGACTGGGTATTCCAAGCCAGGGCACGTAAACAGAATTCACGTTCTGTTACAGGAAGAGGAATAAAACTTCCAAAGAAAATCAGATGCATTATCAAAGGCATAAGAGTAAAAAGGAAAAAAATTATATGGAGAACCAAACAAACAAAACCCTCCACAGGTTAGGGAATGTATTTTCCACATATTTGTTGCAAGAACAGTAATATTATATAAAACAATTCCATTACAATTGATGGTCAAGCCTAAGATTCCATTTGGTAAATGGACAAAAGACATGACAGTTGACAAAAGAACAGAAGTAAGGGGGTAAAGGTTCCACTACATTTTGAGTCAAGTCAGTACACGGTAAAAATCTCAAAGAGGCAACATTTTTATATCTGTTTGATGAGTAGAAAAAATAATTTTCAATGATACTCCCCTGGGCTCACAAACGGAATCCATTGGACACTACTAAGGCAGTCAATGCTGCTAACTCAACACTGAAAAAAAGGCAGCACGTTGCTGCCACGAGCAGGCACGGATGCCGGCAGCCTCAACGCAGCGCAGCAAACGTCCTCGGTCCTCCTCTGAAGGACCTCAGCAAGCAGCTGCTGCATTGCGCTGCCGGCTCTGTGGGAAGACACTGGAAGGTAGAACTGTGACAGTGTGAGGCAGCCACCTCACAAAGTTCATGGAAAATGGAATGGAAAGATCATGGAGGTTAGCCCTGGAAATTCGGAGGCATAACTCTTCCCTTTCCCACGTACCAATTCCCACCCTTGTTAAAAATCCAGTTGGTCTCATTTCTCCCCGCCCCTTCCGGTTGCCCCTCCAGGCACGAGTTCTCGCCCCCAGGGCCAGACCCTCTGGTCACCTGTGCCAAGCTTCGCAAACACCTGCATGGACTCATCAAAGCGCTTCTGGCAGAAGAGGTTGAAGGCATATAAATTCTTGATGTGATGGATCTGTTGCTGCTTCTCACTGTCGGAATAATCTTTCATTTCCTAATCAGAGAGAAGTCCAGGTCAGCGCCCACCGCTCCGCAAGCATGTGTCCAGTACCTACTAGGTGTCAGGCAATATCCCGGGGGGCGCATGTGCCACCACTCAGAGAAAGGCCACTAGCACCTACCCTCTCCACCAGGGTTCCCGGGCTATCAGACCAACAAGCAACCACACAATGGGAAATACAACGGGGTTTCTACAAAATACCCCCACCAGGCCTCTGCAAAACACAATGCTGTCAAGGTCAGCACACTACAGAGACTGCCGCAGACCACACAGTGAGAAGACGTGACAACTCAATGTAATGAATGTCCCAGCCTAAATTTGATCCTAGAACAGAAAAAATATATGGAAAAAAAATCAGCCTGGTCAAATCTGAATGACTAAAGTTCAGTTCAAGGGGAAAACCAAAGCAACTACAAAACGACACCAGGGAAGTGTGATGAGAGGCACACGTGGGAGGGGACACGATCCAATGTGAGTGGCAGGTCAAGGAGTGATCCCGGGCAGATTCTCCGCGGAGCCCTTTAGCGGAGCTGGAGTTAACCAGAAGAGCCACTGGGCAGGTGACTGAGGTGGGACAAGAAGAGCAGGGTACCCCAGGCAAGGAGGACAGCGCTTGAGCAGGGTGCCCGCCCATAACTCCTCGGGCAGTGAGACACTGAGTGCAGCAGGCAGCATTTGGGGAAGGCCCAGTTCACAGCGAAAACGAAACACACTAAAGGGCACCCCAAGCTCGCCAGCTGCTCTCGGCCTCAGCTCAGTGGCAGTGGATCTGATTCTGCGGGTTTTCACTATCTTGTTTCTTCTTTACAATCTTGGTTTTTCCTTACACACCCTTTGAAGTCCTCTGCAGCACATTTCACGTCCTCCTGCAGAACGTTTCTCAGCTCTCTCCCTCCCTCTCACTGCCTGTTCTAGGGCCATCACCCCAGTCCAGACCCGAGTCCAGAGGCAGAATCAGGTCTACGCTGCCTGTTTCGTGCTTTTGAACACTTTCATAAGCTGGTACGAGACTCCTCTGAAGCTTGCGTCCCAGCCATTGAACCCAGACCTCCAGCCCCATCAGGAGCCCCAGACCCCCCTGGAACAGGCCACCCCGTTTTCACCTCTTCAGCTCCCTCCTGCTCTGCACACAAGCCAAAGGCTCTCCTCACCTCCGATCCCAACCTCGCCTGTCCATAAGGGGCCGAGTCACCTGTTCACGCCTCTCTGGTCACCATCTCCAGCCCATGGTGGACGGTCCCTTCTCTAACATTTTCTCTGTGCTTTGTTAATACCAGAGTTTAGTCCGAAATTGTCCTCCGAATGTTTCTGAGATTTTAAAAATATTGATCTAAATCTAAACCACTGATCTAAACAAGATAGGTTCCGAGAGAACTGAGCCCATGTCCACCTTGCTTTGTTTTAAGAAGGTGAGGGTGCATAGTAAATGAGTCTAGAAAAGAGAAGGGAATGGGAAAAAACGAGCTGATCCCAAGGGCTCATGGAAAGTAAACGTCTAGAAAAGAACAATGGACTATATGTACGGCTATGTGGGACACACTGATTGGAACAAGAGCTGTGAGAGCCCCCAATGACACGATTATAAAAAGGGGGAAATGGGACCTCTTTCCCATCTCTTCCACTGAAGATCCAGCAGAAGGAGCACTGAAAGACACTTAGACTTTCCTTGAGAAATAGACACGAAAGTAGCTATGTGTGACAGGGTAGACTTTCAATAAAAATCTTAAATTTTTTCTATTGAAGCATACATACAAAAAAAATCCCCCAAACACCTCACCACCATCCTGGTGAGCCTACAGGAGCGGGTAGAACTGCCTGTGTGGGTCACTAACTCTCTCTCACCACCGTAGTCAGTGTGGACTCACAGCCACCCGCTGTGGGTTTACAAGGCTGTAACTGCGTATGGGACTAGAAAGCCCAGTCTTTCTCTAGAAAAGCTGCTGGTGGTTTTGAACTGCCGAACATGCGGATTACAGTCCAACTCATAACTGCTACAGCACCAGGGCTCCTTCACTAACTCTTTCCGGGAATAAAAAGCCTTACCTACACATATGAAAAGTTAACCAACAAAAGAAACTCTTCCAAACAATAAACACAAAGTTCGGGACAATGGTTGTGTTTGTGTGTGTG